GCGGCCTTTGAAGGAAGTAGGGCGTTCACAGAGTAGAATGCCTGTCGTGCAACCGCAGTTCACCTGTTGGTGAAACGTCGCGAATAGAGATTGAAGCTTGGCCTTGGCTAAGGCTGCTTGCCCAATAACAGGCTCGCCCCATTAGACGCGCCACTGCTCCATGCTACACAGGAGGTGAACTGATTGCTGGTCATGATCCATTTCAAATACAGCACTGAGTCCGGGCAGAAAGCCCTTTAGGCCTAGAGGAGCAGCAGGAACATGCCGCTTAGTGGCAAATTGCAGCCTTGGGGAAGATGACTACCTTGGGGCGGGGATCGTAGAAGAAGTTGTCCAAAATGCTGATCATCTCCCTGGTCTTGCCAGAGCCCGTCGGATGATCTACCAGCAACCTTTGCACTGGAGCCTTGGGGTGCACCAGGAAGCGGACGACCTCCTGACCGCCGAGGCACGAGTGCCAGCAAAGCAATCGGTAAGCCTTTTGACTTGGAGCGACTTGTATGGCTCGCTGGACATCCCAACGGCAAATAGGCATCACATGCCAGCATGTTTCCCAAGAGTTGATATCCATGCCCTATGAACCCCTCAACGGCCACAGGTCAATCCGAGTGAATTGGAACCCGCTGTCTGTCGAATGCATTGGCCTCTCCCCTCACTGGGCCTTTATCTACCTAAGCGCGCTGGCTCATCCCGAAAGGATGAGCCGGAATTTGTGAATCTCCCATCGGCCAGCGGTTCGCTTTCTGCAATGGTGGGTGTCCATCTCCTGGTGCGGCTGCAGGGGGCAGCTGCCTGCCTGTTCGGAGCCCAACCCTGCTCGTCGCATCACCTCAGGGCAAAGCAGGACACTTCTTGCCTCCTTCGTGGTTTTTTGGCACATGAGGCAGGCCAACTCGCAAACCCCAGGCAAGACGCGAGAGAGAGAGAGAGAGAGAGAGATTCTAGAGAAGGAACATGGGCCATTTGGATTTGGTGAACGCCCCCGGCTTTTTGTGGGCCGAGTGTCTAGGGAAAAGCCGTACAAACCCACAAAACCATGGTACGCAAGAGTACCAAAAACGGACAACCAGCGGCCTATGGCGAATGTGTTTTCTCCGCGGAGATGTGTACATGTCAATGCATGTCTATATGTGAATACATATCTCTCTCTATACATATCCATATATACACATATGTATAAACATTCCATCCCCCTGCATTTTCTGAACGACCCGTTTGCAGTTGCGCTCAGCTGGGAAAGAAAGCTTCACAACTCCAACAAGCTGCTTTCTGAATTTCTGCTGCGGGTTGCGTTTGCAGCGACGTTTTCTTCCTGCAATATCCAGGCCGCGCTTTCTGACCTTTGTCTGGGCGCACTGCCGGCAAATACATATGGTTCATCACTCCATGCTCCTTTTAGCAAACCGCCAGTACACAACAAAGACTTTCGCGACCTCCTGGCGAAGCGAAAGCGCGCAGGGCAACACTAAAACAGAAAGGTCTGCCCCCTTCACACCTGAATGCAAGGACCTTTCGGACGACTCCCATATACATAGTTGATTCTATACACCAATGCAAATGTATCCTAACATGTCTCATGCACGCTTGTGTGCGCGTGTGCGGACAGCAGCTAGACTGGGCCCCTGGCGCGTGCGGCCCTGGCGTTGAAGCCGCAGCCTCCTACGCCCAAACTGCACCTTTTCCATTCTCAAAACAAGCTTCTAGAATCTGAAGACTGTGCTCCAGTATCGGAGGACTGTCACATGCGTGCCTGTGGCTGCCCAAATGCTTGTGGAAATGGAAGCTGTCATGGTGCCTAAAACGAAGAGTTTCTCTCCAAGGAATGCCCTCAGCCGTCCCTGGCGACCCGCGGCCTGGCACCAAGTGCGGTGAATCTGCCGCCCACAGGTGCGAGGGGTACTGGTCTGCGGCCAGCTCCTCTGCGGTGAGCTCGGCACCTCGCCAGCAGATTGCAATGCGCGCACAAATGAGCTCTCCCACGAGCCCCGTGCCAAAAGAATGCTTTTGCTGTTGAAACCCCTGGGCATTAAATGGCACCATTGTTTCGGCCAACGGCTGAACAAAATTGTCGCTGGTGCCAATTCCCTCGACCTCCCCTCAAAATTCACAGCCCGTGAGGAGCCCCACAAGTCAGCACTGACGGACTATCCACCTTGCATGCTCTGCTGGAAATGGCCCTGGTGATGAAACACCAAAATCATTCCACAACCATTCCCTACAACAACCCAATTGCTGTTCTGGGAAGCCCTAGGGGGTGATCATTTTTGGTGTCTACTACCCACCTACAGTGAACATTCAGTTGCACTTGGCCCAAAAGGTGCTATTTAAAGCCACCCCAGAGCAAAGAGCTTAACACTTCAAACCCAAACTACTTTCGGCCATGCTTGAAGCCACGCCAAATGTGTAGCGCAGGCCAAAAACACTTCAAAACCAGAACTTCCGAAAAGCGCAAATAGCTAAACAACTCGCACTAGTACCAAGGGTATCCACTTCACAACTATTCTTGCTGGTTCTCGGCAAGGAATGCGGAATGACCCCATATAAACACTCCCCTCTGGTTTTTTGAGGGAAGCCCTTCCGGTTCATGCCCAAACCCCGGACTCGGTCATTCCCTACGGTGGAATGACGACATCTTGCACCACCTAAGGAAACCCAGGAATGATTATTCCATATTATTCCCCTCTAAAAATACCAGCCAACCATGGCAAGCCCATGGATTCAAAGTGGTGCGAAATGGACTTCGGCCATCCACATGAGCTATCGCACCAGCGATCGAATGTTCGCCGCCTCCCTTCCTGCCGAACGGCCCAGATCAGCCAGCAGCTCAGGTGTCACGCGCAGCCGGGGCTCCACATCTGGGGCCTCCTCTCCGGACAGCTCGTCTTCTGAGAGCTCGCCTCTGGGCCGCGTTGCTCTGACTAGTACTTTTGCGACCGTTTTGTTTTCTTCTTTAAAAAAAGAAGAAGAAGAAAAACAAACATGCTACTTCTTTTTCGGGTTGCGCTTCTGTCATTCTTTCAATTTTTGTCGTTTCAGCGGGCTTGAAGTTGCCTTAGGCATTCAACAGCATGCTGATGCTTTCTCAACGGAACTGTTTCCTGATCGGCACATGACCGACGCCTCGCTTAGGCATGACCACCAAATGGATTCAAACCGCCCCAGCCGATTCAAAGATTCTGACGGTCGCAAATCAATCGTCATGGCCAATGATAGCTCCCCGCCTTCATCGGAGCTTGCAGCTTGCCTCGTTCGGCTCCGGAGCTTTCGGTCGGCCAGCGCAGCAAGGCAAGCATGCTCGCCTCAGTCGCGGGAATGCCCAGCGCGGCTTAGCGGCTTTGCATTGCCGCGGAGTTGCTGGCATCCACATCCTCCACAGTGAAGCGTTGCCCACCTTTGCGTGCAGCTTCCCGCAGCATCTGGAAGAGCGTCCTTGAAAGCAAAAAAGCAAGACTCGAAACCAACCTGAAGCAAATGCAAATCCATCAGCCTGCCCTGAAACCTAAGCTGGGCTTGCATGCAAGACTCACTGCAGCACGGGCATCTATGCAAGTGCTTAGGCCGAACTGCACCATGAAGTTTATGACATCGTCGCCTGACAGTCACTGCCACATTCGACTAGACACAGCTTCCGTGCCACAACCCAAGCACCCGCACCCTGCAAGTTGAACTTGAAACAGCTGGTTTGCTGGCGAAGGGGATGCTCTTCGCCGCACCTTGAGCGGGAAAGGCACGCCCAAAAATGTGATTATTAGCTGTACCAGGCCGTTCGACTTGGAGGACTTTTTGCGGCTTGTTGAATTTGCTGTATCCTATGCCATGAGATGAGCCAACGTTGATCTCGTGCCATCTCGTTTCAATGGTCTTAGCAGCCGGCCTCCCCTTTCAAATCAGGCTCTGCCATTCATTTTGACGGCACCTCTCAAGTAAGCTGTGACCCTGTCGCTGTTCGGCCAACGCCGGCAGCCAGAAACAGCAGCATTTCGTAGACCATGTGTTGAAGAATTCATGTCTTTTTGTTTTGTTTGACACGCTCACGCAGAGCAACCCCATTTACTTTAATGTCCAGCCCCACTACAACACCGCTCCTTGCGATTGACTCTCCAGTACGGAAACATACTGTGCACCGCTCTTTTACAGTCGTTTGCATTCTTACTGTAATCCCGTTGGGGGCCGTCAAAAAAAGAATGGGAGAGGGCCGTCCAAGTGCGAAGGTGCTTCTACACACGCGTTCGCTTCCAAAACGCACGCGAAGGGCACAATTTTGGGGCCCGGTAACTTCAAGAAACGCGGGGAGGGGCACATTTTTGGGTGGCCCGGTATTCATACAGGAGGGGTGGGGGCGTGAACAAATATCGATCGAACTTCGGCCCTTCGGCGCCTTCGGCCGCTTCGGCCAGGCGCAAAGCCAGCTCCATGCACTGCCTCCGTGCCAGCGCCAGCTCTGAGCTGCTGCGCTGTGCCCAAAGGGGCACGTGCCTAAGGCCCAGGTCACGAGGTGACGTGAGCCACGAACTTCCCCCCCGGATCCAGGCTGGCCAAAAGCGTCCCCAAACTTGTTTACCACTAAAACGGTCTCTCATAAAAAGATGAAGTCCAGGAACTCAGGGAGTGAGACATGCGGTGGCTGTGAAGGACACGCGAACAAGGTCCTCCTGGTCTAAATGGGGATTCAGGTTCACCAACCCATTTTGAAGGGTGCTCACTGCTCACCAATCAGCCACATGTCCCAAGCACCATTGAATGGCTTCTTGTTCTGCCAAGGATGGTTCAGCCATATCCCGCAAGACTTTCAAGATGTGAGCAAAATAGAACCCATGAAAGCGCCCACCGGAGGCCTTGCGCCCATCTATTCGAAGGCCGAAAAGGTGTGTCCATGCCGTGATGCTCAAGCAAGCGGTCAGTCGCCATGGCGGCTCAGAGCGCAGCGATTGCATCAGTCGCGAGTAAGCGCATGTTGGGTAGAATTGGGTGTGGCTCAAACATAGGAGTCCAACATGGAACCCTGGCAAATGGAAAGGTAGACTATAACCTGCGTAACCCCAAGTGTTCAATTTTGACCCACCGCCAATTCCGTGGGCATCAGCAGCTTCGATTGAACATGCGAGGTGCGCTCGTTCTGGCCTTGAGCGTTTGGCTTCGTGAGTTGCCCTTCCATCTTTGTCGCCGCCCCATTTGGCATAAGCTGAAAGCAGCGAGGATAATCACAGTTGAAAGCCTGTCCTCGGCCTGTCTTGCATGGCAATGCATGACCTAGGGTCAGGAGGCTCGGCGACATGATCGCATCCTGTGGCCTGACCTCAATGCGTTGGCCACAGCTTCTCTCCGGCATTCTCAACTCCAACGGCGCAATGGGGCCTCAGAAATCGAACCCGACTCCCCATGGCAAAGCCCATGTCTTCACTCCCAAGTCCACCAAGCCAGGCCTCTGGATGCTCAGCCCCAGGTGCCCAGGTGCAGGTGACCTGACTGAAATACGCTCAATCCTGTGGCTTGCACCATCTTTCGCCAAATATTCTCCCTACCAAAGGGAGTGCCCTCTATGGTGGCCCCGTCGATTGACCTGACGTAAGCCCTTGTGCTGAACGTCTGGCTGTCCTTTTAAGCTCGGCGTGGCTGTACAAGTTTCCAGGCCAGGAGTTCCCTGCTTACCTTCCAGCGGTTACCTGCTGCACAACCTGGTCGGCGCACCGACCGCCACAAAGCAAGATTTTAAAACCCAGCGGTGTCCACTCCCCGAGTTTCGACCTTACAAAAGATGCTAGCATCTTTTTTGGCAAGTCCGGAGGCTGCAGGTCCATTCAACATCGACTCGCTGCAAAGGGGACTTCGGCAGCTTCAGAGGCAGCAATGATGCCGTTCTTGCACTCCCGGGTCATCGACCTGAAGCTGGACCGGAGATACGGGAAGGAAAATGGCGGTAGGGAGCCCCCCGTTTGACACACTCCCATGTGGGGAGCGGCGCTCCCCCCCCCCCCACAAAAAACAGAAAAAAGTATAAGGGGGTGAGAATGAGCGTCGGAGCAAGCTAGCTCAACAACTTGCTGCGTCCTTCAGCCAGCCTCTGCAAGGTATACCAGCCCAAGTCAAGCTGCTCCACGGAGCTGGTCATGCTCAAGGGCATTTGCCACTGTCCAGCTTTCTTGCACTCCCGGATGAGGCTGTCTAAGCTGATGTCCTCATCGCATATGGCAGGCTGAGCATGTGAAAGCTGAGGCTCACTGCGTCCAACATGAATCAACTGGGCATGTGATGGGATCAATGCTGACAAAGTACGTCGGCGGCGACTTGCCTGAGCGCGAATCAAGTGGCATTAGGAATTAATTTAGGCGTGTCCCAGCCCTTGGGGCACATTGATTCACATGTCACATGTCCGCCCCTTCGGCAAGTTGGGGGAGCGAGCGGGGTAGGCAGATCTTGTGCTGCATGCACTCCCCTAAACCTCAGAGAGCACTCTGCGATAGTGGGCGCGCCCTGTGCATGCAACAGCGCTCGCAAAGGGGTCTATGCTCGCGGATGCTTTTGTGGTACTCTCGAACTTGCGGCCATACTCGGAACTGCAGGTTAGCAACGCTTAGTCACGTGCGGAACGTGTGGTCACAAAGGACCAGGAAAGGAGGTTGGGGGTATGGAAGGGTTCGTTGCAAGCAAATAAACCATCGCAGTTGGGCTGGCCCGAAGTGATGCCAGCCAAGATCTGCATGATCAACAGCTGGCCGTGGAATGGGCATAGCAGTTGGCATATGTGGTGAGGGTGGGGGCATTTCAACTTTCTGCCACGGGGTGGATTTGTGTGGACATCTTTGCCATCTTGCGCTGGTCGCACACTCGCGCAAACTCATCCTGCGTTTGCATGATGGGTGATGACATGGCACGCTTGCGCCTTCTACCATGTGTTTTTGGTTTGTTTGGCGGGGAGCCCTCCAACATACAACCGTATAACCGGGTCGAAGGCAACATCTTTGAACCACAGTGGCAGGCTAATCTTGCGGTGGGAGTGGATGGCGGCCCTTGGACTGCCTGCCCTTCCGCAGTTGTTGAACACGAGGATGTGTTGCTGGTTTGTTGCGACCGACACCAAGGGTTCGAGTGGCCGGACTTGAGACAAGCCACTGGCTCGCGGCATGCAACAGCAGGCCATGCGCCTGAAGCCAAGCACAGCCCTTCAGCGCCAGATTGCAGCACGTCCTCAGCCCACTTGAAGACTTGTGCTGCAGAAACTCCTTTGGGGCTATGCTTTTGACATGTAACCAAGGCGTGTGAAAGGCTTGAAGACCAATCAGCGAAAAGAAAATAAAAAAAGGGGGGGGGGGGGCGAAAGGACGGCCCCAGCCTTTTGAGGGGCATCGTTGGCACTTGGAGAAGCCGAGATCCATGAAGCAAAACATTCCGGGATCCTTTCAAGAAATGTGTTCGGAGCTGAGCGGATGCAGCCATATCCAGTTAGGCTCGGTTGTGAACTGGAACTGATCTGACAAGCAGCAAGTCCAGGCGGAGCTGCCACCGCGGCATGTCAAGCAAAACCTGCAGACCGAAGGGACGCAAACAAGCAGGAGCCTCACTCAACCGCAAGCAAACTGAATGCATTTGTCACTGCAGTCACTTCAGGGAGTTTTGAGCTCAATATGTGGGTGTGGCTTTTTTGAGGATGCCTTTTTTGTCATGGCCAGCACGGAAGGAAGAAGGACAGTGCCATGCCAAGCTGCGCGCAAGCCACGCACCCACTTTCCCGCGCAAGCTGTGATTCCAGAGCTCCAGGTGAATTCATCTGGCTGCGCCTGTGCCAGTTTCAAGGGCAAGGACTATGCGAAACAATCCATCAATCGGGGTTGTGGCAAGTCCAAGTGCAGCACCAATGGGTTCAGGAATATTGATGCGAAAAGAGCACACCTGCCGAGGTTTCTCCCTGACCGGCCAACCGGCCAACATGTCCAAGCCCATGGTTCTGAAAAGAGCGTCTCGGTCCATCTTATTTGCCACGCTATTCTACCCCAAAGTTGCTAACACCAGCAGGCGTGACCCTTTCTCACCCACCATTTTGACAAACTTCCCTGCCCCCACCCACCTACCCACCCACCCACCCACCCGCCCGCCCGCCCGCCCGCCCGCCCGCCCGCCCGCCCGCCCGCCCGCCCACCCACCCACCCACGCCTGCGCCAGGGCTAAGGCCTCCGCCCACTTGGCGCAGGCCACGCAGGCCGTCGCGCTCGAGCTGGAGACCACCAGGTCGCTTTTGTGGCTCCTGGGCTCCAGGTAAACTCGGCCTCCTTGCCACATGGCTGGGCTCAAACAAGTGGTACCAATATGACACCTTGGCAAATGGAACCAGGGCCTAAAACCTGCGTAACCCTAGCTCTTTAATTTTGAGCCATACCCACATCTGTGGCATTTGGGGTTGGAGCTGTTGTCCGCTCGTTTTGATGCGACGACTCTTTTTCTTGGGTTAGTTGGGCATGTGGCGGCGCAGGCCCCCCAATTGCCCATGGTTTGTGGCATAGGGTTCTTGTCAGTTGACCCTTGGCTGCGGCCTGATATCATATGCTGAAGTTGCTGCATGCAACGCTGCAATCTATCCACCCGCAGAAGGTTTCCTATTGGCCGGGGGGCCTCATGCATGGCGTATATACATCAAGAAACCTTGGCCATGGACAAATCATCACGATACCATTCACGTGCATTGTAGCCTGCAAACAAGAGATCTAGATTTGCAACACTTTTCCAAGCAAAACAAACTGAACAGTCTAAAACAATCGAAAACAGTCAACAACGTGTCATGCAATCATGACTAGTCGTGCATCGCTCACCAGTGCCTGGGCGTTTGCATGGCATCCCTTGATTAGCTGTTGGCCTCAGCTTCCCTCGAATGGATGGTTTAGATTTGTGTTTTGGTGGTTAAGGAGGGGTTTCCCACTTACCCTCTACAAGAACCAGCGGTTCAAATCCACATCCAAACCCACCAATCCAAACCACCAAATAAGAAGAACCTGCATTCCACTGCTATGGTCGAGCTTCCTTTTCGCCATCTCGACTGCAAGCTGCAGCGCGGCTTCCCACAATTGGCTCTTGGCATGCGCGGCCATGTTGACCTCAGCGCGAACAGAGACGAGCGAAACTGAAGAAATCCCGTCAAGCCTCATTCAACAATTCTCATCCTTAGGGGGATCGCAACCAAACATATACACAAACGAGGAAAACAACAAGACAAAGGTATACACAAACGAAAACCAAACCAAAACACCAAACCAAAAGCACCAAGAGAAACAGGACCAATCCCTTGGGCCATTGCATCCCCGGCGCACCATAGGTGACCAAGCTGGACTCTAGGAGCATCCGCCGCATCGAGGCCAGAACGGACAGCTCGAAGTCCCACGCATGGACCACCTGTCCAAAACATTGGGGACACACAAAAAACACAAGGCGTTTTTGTTGCCTTGGGGTTTCTGTGGCAAGAGGTGAAGGTGAACCTTGCCCTGTGGCTGGTGGCTTATGGGCAGTAAAAACAAGGAAAAACAAAGCCGGGGACACCAAAAATGGGGACACCAAATTGGAGAAAACCAAAAACCGCCTTTGGTGTCCTTTTGGTTTCCCTAGGCAAACAAGATCGCCTCCGAGACTGCCGCTGCATTGAAGGCGAGCGCATCCGGCTGGAGCGCACCCATCCTCAAAGCCATAGGGCGTGGGCGTGTCGATTTCTGGGGTTGGCTTGCTGGTGCTCAGTAGGGAATGAGGGAATGAACCTCGGGGGTCCCCAAGAAACCGCACGGGATGGCTCATAGGTGTCATTTTTTCCTTCCCTGAGGCCAGCAAGTTGGGGGCTGAAGGCTCCGGGGCTTCCATTCCAGCCCATTTCCGCGCCAGCCATTCCGTGATGGTTCACCATGGCTGGGTGGTTCCAATGCAGCCTTCAACAAAAAACAAATTGAACTCCGCGGCCGAGCGCCCCTCTGAATCCACCGATGCACCCAGCATGGCCATCACTTCCCCAAGCTCACCCGTGAGTTCATTTCAGGCCCCGCGGCCGGGGATCGCCCAGGAATCCACTTGACCGGATCGCTCGCCGAGGCTCGAGTTCAGCAGCTCCCCTGCAACGTCCCAGCGCAGGGCCTCACGAAAAAAATCCATTGGACCGCATCTCACGTAAGTGGGCTCAAACTTTTTGTTGAACACTAAAATGGTCTTCCCAAGAAGCTTGAAGTCCAGGAACTGTGAGTCAAAATGTATCGGATTACCACTAAAATGGTCCTCTCCCCAAAAATGGTTTCCAGGAACTGTGAGTCAAGACGTATCTGTTTACCACTAAAATGGTCTTCCCGACAAGTTTAAAGTCCAGGAACTCAGGGAGCGAGTCAAGATGTATTTCATGAAAATGTGGCGATTTGAATTCCCCTGCAAGAACGGCAAAGCACTTGCAACTGCAATCGCAGCCAGGGCATGCCATGCCTCCTAAACTCAAAACAAAGCTTGCCCGTGTAGTCTCCCTGTGTGTTTGCACTGTGGGGATTTGCCTGGACGGCGTGGTCCACGAAGCTTGCACTGCGAAAATTCCCCTTGAACGACCAGAGTGCAACAAACATGTGCCACGCGTTTCTGAGTTCCATTGATGCGCAGCATGCCTGGCCTTTTGATCCTGAAAAGTCAACTAGTCCCCGCCCAAGAAGGGCACACCGCTCATTTTTTGTGCACCAGGCTTCATGAGGTGAGGATTTCTCAAAATAGGGGATTGCTTTTTGGACGGTTTTCAAGGAAAACCAGCAGGACACTACCTACCTGGAGGGGTCCCAAGTTCGAGAAACACCCAGGTACCACACGCCTGGTTGCAAACAGCGACAGCTGCACCGCAAGGCATTGTGGCAGGGCGAATCCTTACACCAGGCATTCAGTCTGGACTCTGCGGTATCTTGCGCAACATGGGACCAACTAGACTGCTCGGGGGTAGTTGCTGCTTTGTGGCTCATGGATTTCACTTCCAGCCAGGGCATGTCATTCAAGCAACCTCAACCAGCTTCTCGCACTGACCATCACCTGCCAAGCATGGATGTGACTGAAGCAAAGCCCTTGGTCCCAGGCGCCAACAATTGCCGGCACGCTGAAGAAATGCCAAAGCCATTTCCCAGCTCTGCCAATTCCTGCGTCGGCTTGCACAAAGCTACAGGGCTCCGCAACCACAGCTTCGGCAAGAAAGACTGACAACCAATCCTATGCCTGAGATGCTTGCGCCACCTGCTATCGACTGACTGAACTCCAAACCAACTTCATGATGCAAGACATTGTGGCGTAGACGGGTTCCCGAGAGTATGAGAGCACCATGCTGGACATCTATTTGTTGAAGTAGCGTCGGCAGCGGACCGTGACCCCATGCTTCATAAATGTCCATACCTGCCGCAAAAAGCTGACGGGCCCTTACCGGAGAGCAAACATGTCGGACCGAACTTGCAACGCAAGCTCCCCATTAAAGAGGGCGTTGCCTTTCGAGCCGACACTTCTCAGAATGTTCGCCCTGCTGCAAGCGTGCTCATGGCAGAACAAACAATGCGCGACCATCTGTCCCACCAATTCCGGCAGCCTCAGAGACCAAAGGGCTGCAGACAGGCCAATCGCGTCGCTGCGCTCCAAAAGTTGCAGCACTTTGCCCGGTTCGCGCGCGGAGCAAAGAGTGTTGATGACCTGTGCGCAAATCCATGTGCAAGTCGGCCGCTCAGGGCTCCAAGGTCCTACCCTTAAGTATGGCACGGGGCTCTTGGTCACCTGCTGCCAGCTAACAATGGTGCCAGGGAGCAGTGTTCACAAGCTGTCGGTCCGCGGTGCCTCCTGGCACATCTTTGACTGCATGGCTGTGTTGTGTCTACCAGCCGAGTATTGGTTTAACCTGGGGTCTCCTTAGGTAAAGGGGGGGGGGGGCGGGGCCCCCTCAATACATTTCTCACGAATCCACGGTTCCCGACAAGCGATCCCTTGTTTCAAATTGTGGGGCCGGCGGGGGGGGGGGGTTCACAGGCACTTACCAGCCCGTTTCAAGCCGCCCCCATCCGCCCCCAACTCCTTCTAGCAGTTGTAGCGCACCAGTCCACAGGAGGCCCTGCTGCGCTGCTTGTACGCCAGCACCTGGGTCACGCATCTAATTGCTGAGCTGGCAACACCCTGCACCACCAACCCCACCAGCCCCACCAACCCCACCAGCCCCACCAGCCCCGCCAGCCCCCCCAGCCCACCAGCCCACCACCACCACAAAATCAGAGCCACGCACCAACCAAGCAGCACCAAAAACAAATCACGAGACGGGTCGACCAAAGCTCCGCCCAGGCACTATACGTGATCACGTCTGGCAGCCAGGACTCCTGCAGATTTTGCCTGCCCACCCGCCCTTTTGCAGTCGACCTTCGACCAAGTTGGAATAAATCGAATCCCAAGCAAACCTCGCCATTCGCGTGGCCCTCGATCACTTGCTTGTTGACTCACCGGTGGCACCCTGAAGCAAGTGGTGGCCGCTCAGTTGCTCCCGGCGCCTCTGATTTGTTTGTGGCAACGCTACAAATTGGCAGCACCCAGAGAGCAAATCAACATGCCCATCATCTACAAGGTTTCTCCGATCGACGTGCGCATCCCAAGGCAAATGCGGGGCTGGGCGTCCAACTGCCAACTCTGTTCGGGGCACAACTCACTTCCTGGCCCAGAGATGTCCAAACTTTTTGCTTACCACAAATGGTCTTCCAACAGTGCAGCCAAATATGCCGCGGGGCAGGATGGCCAAAGATGCCGCCCATTGCTCACGTGCGGTGCGAGCAATAGCCTTCAACGCCATCAGGAAGCAACACAACATGTCAATGTAGAAACAAGTTCCTGCGTGCTAATGACGTCAGCATCAAGGCAGGCAATATCACAAAAGCCGCTCCAGGCAAGCATGAACGCATTTCGTAGGAGCATTTGGGCTGCTACTGCCTCTACTGGCCAAGGATACCAATCAACCCTCGCCCAGTGCGCAAGGAGTGACCTGCCGCCCCTGGCCCGCCAATGAAGTGCTCAGCAAAACCACTGCGAAAGGATGCCGACCTGGCTTCAACAATCTAAGATATGCTGTCTAGGGCTTGCTTTTGAGCATGGTCCGTGCTGGATTTGCCGATTAATATGGAAATATCCAATAGATAAAAGGCCTAGTTTGACGGCTTCGGTCCCTTTGAGCCTAGGATCTGCATTGGAACTGGCCAGCATCCCATGAAGCCGTAACTGCCCCGCGCGACACAGCAGTCCTCGGCAGCGCTTGAAACTATCCGACTGGGCGTTCAAGTTGCAAATGTGCAAGGCCACAAGTAGCCACACAAAAAAGCCCTGCCAAAACAAAGCCACGCTTTGCTCCTAGGGTTCTCTGCAGTGCGAAACCAACAGGAAATGCCAGTTTCCTGACTTTTCTGTCGGCTTGACGTAACAGAATTTGGGGCCTCCCGCGCGACTGAGGTCACCATATCGGATCCTGCCTCCATTCATGCAGCCCTCTGGAAAATGAGCCACCAGCCAAGGTTCCAAGGCCAACATTCCATGGCTCCTCCTGGCAAGGGGCCCCAAAGCACCGCAGCACCCTCGACTGTCAGGACTGATTTGCAGAAGTCTACGCATTCCGTTCAAATCCTTGGCTGAAGGCCAAGTCCAAGCAAAACAACACACCCAAGGTCTTGGGATGTTGCCACATCAGACTGGAGAGCGTCCAAGGACAAATGCCAGGTAAAACACCCCTTGGTCCTTGCTGGAAATCGCAGCGCTGAACATGTACGCATCTGGCCAGGCCTGACCGTCACAGTGCATTCACATGACATCAGCCCTGAGGCTGAGGCGCTGTGATCCGAAGTCTCAATGGCAATTTGGCAGCCTCACTACAATCACTCCTCGAGTGACGACCCAGTTTGAATCAGTCATGGACACATGCAAACTCTGCCTGCTGCACGCAGGCGCAAAGGGCAAGCCGCCATTGGCCACTTTGTGCCTTAGCGCAGAGATGGAAGAAAGCTAGTCCTTCAGGGGTGATGAGGCCTCTCACCCATGAGGGAAGTCCACAGCGTTGGCCGGGACTCACACGCCCCCCGCCTGCAACTCAGGCTTTGGCACATGCGGCCGCTACGGTGTTCTGCGTCACCTCGGCTCATGGCGCGTGCAACGAAATGATGCAACCATAAGCAGCCGGCGACTTGGCTACTGCTTCCATTTGAACACAACAGGTCATAAACACACATGAACGAACAAGTATGATTGAAACACGCTTGCAAATCTATATGCGCACCTTGTTGCGCATGATACATCCCAATTTATACATTTTTATGTTTGCTATATATTGTATTACAAAAATATATATTACATACATTACATATCATATAAACATGGAACTATTCAAGAAAGGCAGAACCTCGGCGACTCGGCGAGCGGCGGCATCCGGCCCGCAGGCCGCGCAGGCCATGCGCAATTGCAGCGCCAAGGAGCGCGGCCATGCGGCGCTTGCGGCCTGCGGAAAACGAGGCACGTGGGCACGTGGCCCCCCCACCTCGGAGCCCAACTTACCGCAACTTCCCCGCATGGTCCAAAGGGAAAGAAGCAAAACGGCTGGATGGATGGATGGATGGATGGATGGCTGGCTGGCTGGCTGGCTGGCTGGCTGGCTGGCTGGCTGGCTGGCTGGATGGATGGATGGATGTGTACGGCCGGGATGCCCTCCGCCTCACGCCGCTCAGCCTCCCCCCACTTGGGTGGTGGGATTTGAACAAACGGTTCCTTGCCACCAATCCAAACTACAAACTAAGGCCCAACAAAACCAAGCAGCACCCCCGAACTACTGGTTTTTGGCTTCTGTGCTTGGGATTTGTGATCGAAAAAGCATGTGGGAGATGGAGTGTTGGCCAAGGAGGAGACCCTTTGTTTAACCCAAGGTGAGGACTAAGGATTGCCAATGAACAGCTTGTGGAATCAACCAGGTTGAGATGGAGCTGAATTCGGGCATGGCTAGCAAACCGCCTAAATCAAAAC